TTAGAAGCTCCCCCCCCCCCCCCCCCCGCGCTCCGCGTCCAACTCGTCGTCAGATCATGCTCGAGGTGTTGGAGTCCTTGCCGCTGGCGCCGCCGCCGACCGCCGCAGTCGAGACCAAGGGCCTCCGCGTGTGGCTCTGCGCCACCCTCCAGCCGGTCATGGCCGACCGGCCTCGCGCCGTCCAGGCGTTCCTGGCCTGCCGGGGGATCCCCCTTCTCTGCCGCCAGCTCGCGGCGGGCCCCGCCGACATCGCCGTGCACGTGTGCGGTGTCCTGGCCTCCGCCCTGCGGAGCGGTGGCGCCGGCGCCGGCGCCGGTTCGAGTGCCGCCGTCCCGCGCTCAGCCATCGAGACTGTCGATGTGAGTGCCTTTCATGGTTGCCGTTGTTGTTGCTTGTTGGGGAGGGGGGTTCGGAGCGTGAAAAGGGGTCGCCAGCACCGGGGGAAAGACGAGCGCTGTGCTCTTGCCTTATTTAGCAGTGATGCCTTCTACATGGAGCCTCTGGCTGAAATGCACGCCCTTCGCGTTAGAAGCAGACCGACAGACTGATACTCTTGCCTCGCTTTTTTTCCTTGTGGCCCGGTCTCTCGCAGGCGAGCATCATCGACCCCCTGCTTGGAATGCTTGCCGGCGGCACCAACAAAGACGCCCACGCCTCCGCCCTGGCCATGGAACTCCTGGTCGTCCTGGCCTCTCACCCCCCCTTCTCCGGCCGGCTCCGCGCGGCCGGCACCATCCCCGCCGTGGCGGCTTGCCTGGAGGACCACCCCGCGAGGGGCGCGGCGGCGGCGGCGGCGGAGCCCGTAGCCAGGGCCTCGTTGATGCAGCTCGCGCTCATCGTCCTTACCGGCTTCCTGCGTGGCGACGGGGATCAACCGGCGGCGGTGGCGGCGACGGGGGAGGTTGACGAGGTAGCGGCCGAGATCGCCGCCACTCGCGCACATGTCCGCGTGGTGGCTCTCCTCTCTGCGCCGGACCCCAAGCTGCGCTTCACCGCCGCCGAGCTCGCGCTCCAGCTGTCCCGCCGGTGTCGCCCGGGCCCGGCGCCCAACTCCAACCGCGGCGGCGGCGGCGGCGGCATCGCAAAGGATATGATCGAGGCCGGGGGGCTGGGGGCGCTCTGGAGCGCCTGCTCCGACCCGTCCCCGATGGCCAGGCCGGTCGCTCTCGAGGCCCTGGCGGCCATGCTCGGGACGGCGGCGGCGATGAGCCGGTCCAGCGCGTCCTCGGAGGCCGTCCTCGCGCTGGTGTCTGAGGGCGCGGTCGGGGGCCTCGTGCGGCAGCACGTCGACCCGGCTCTTTCCGTGCTCGGCAGGAGGGGCCGTGGCGTTACAGGTGACGCCGCCACCACCGCCGCCGCCGCCTCTGTCGCGACCTCCGCCCTCCTGGCCCTCCATTTCCTCGCCGCCAACCCGGACCCGGCTGTGCACGGGCTTTTCGTCGTGGTCGCCGGGGTCGATGAGCAGCAGGGTGGGGCCGCTCGCAGTGGCGGCGGCAGCACCTGGAGCACGATACTATCTTGCGTTGAGGCCGGGGCGGAGGGCAGGGGGGGTCCCGCCTTACCTGGAAGCGGCGCTGCTGGCGGCCGGGAGCGTGTGCGGGGCCCCTCCCCTCCCGGTGTTGGGCGGTGGCGGCGGCGCTGTTGCACCTTCGGGGTCTGTCGCCGCTGACGAGATCGACCGCATCTTGCCGGCCTACCAGGCGCGCGCCCGGACGGCCGATTGCCTTTTGGCGGCGGCGTCGGCGACCTCTCGGGGGCTGGCGACGCGGGCAGTGGCGCTGCTGGATGCCGGGGGGTCGAGCGGCCGCGGCGGTTTTCTCTCGACCGACAGCGAGGCGCTGTCTTCGGCAAAGCTGACCCGGGCCGCGATCCGGGTGGTCTGGTCGTTGTCCCGGGGGCCCTCCTCGGCGACGCTGGCGGCCCACGGCACGCTCCCCCGGCTCATGGGCCACATGTCTTGCTTGCGCCGCAAGGGCAGCGGCGGCGGCGGCGCGGACGGGGCAAGAGGCGACACGGCGGCCGGAGTGCTCGTGCTCGATACCATCGCGGCGTTTCTGAGTCTGGAGGACAGCAGTAGTGGGCACCGGCGTGGTGGTAGCAAAGACTCGGTGGCACCCGTGCCTCCCTCGACGGCCACGACCATCGGCCGGACGGTGGACGAGCTCTGCGAGCTCGTTCTCCACGGCACCACCACCAAGAGGGCGACGGCAGATGATGCCGGGGATGATGGCTCCTCGGGGGCAGCGGCTGGATCTCTGGGCCCGAGGTCGTTGGCTCTCCTCGCGAAGGCGGCGGCCAACCCTCGACTCCGACCGATGCTCGTGGACAGCCCCAAGTTCCCTGCCGTGCTGGACCTGCTGATGGTTGAGAGGCATCTGGATGGCGCTTCCTCGGTGAGGGGGGCCCGTGATATTGTTTTTGTGATTTTTGTGTTCCGGCCTAAGGAGGGTGGCCGGGTGGTTTTTGTGGTGCTTCTGCATACCGGCCTAGCTGGGCATGCAACGCGCGGGCGTGCCCCCCTTTTTGCCGGTCTAGATTGGCGAAGACTGTCGCACCTAAAGCCGTAGGCACGGTTACGCCACCTGAAATCGTTATCTTGTCTGGACGCCGCCGTGTGCGGGATGTGGTACTGCGAGCGTTTTCTCCGTCGCTCATCTGACTCTGCCCCCTCGCTCTGTCTCCCCGCTCTTATCCTTGTCGACCCCCCCCCCAAAAAAAAAAAACGAAGAACAACGCGATTTCTCTCGAGGTGGCGCTTGGAGCTCTCAGTGTCGTCGAAGCCGCCGTCTCCGACGAACGCACGGCCTCGCGGCTGGTCAAGCTCGGCGTCGTCTCCAAACTCGCCGCCCTCGTGCGGCAGAATCCGGCGGGCCCGCCGCCGCCGCTGCCCCC